AATCAATATCACATGGTAATGTCTTTAAATTACTTATACTAACACACTATAATGCGTATGTTTTTTCGTAGAGGTCTTTTAACATTGAAGAGAACCGAAAAAATATTGTCTTCAAGTGGCCGGAAAAAGACACAGAGGGTGGAGAACTTTTTTAAAAAACAAATTTCTTAAGGATGAGCAAGGAAATCTTGTTAAAGCGGATCGTCCAATTAAGTATAGCAACTTCATTGGACCCGAAGAATGGGATGAATTTGTATCCAAACGAATAGAAAATGAGAAATTCAAGAAAGTGAATGAAATAAATCACGAGAGAGCATCAGCACCCATGTATCCATACAGAAAAGGGCGTTGGGATATGCACGCTTACAGCAAAAAATTGTAAGTATATATAAATGCTACGATCTTATTACTTGTCTCAATGTGTTATAATTGATGATCTTATGATTTGTGTCAATGCGTAGTTAGAGGAGACGAAAAGTGACGAAACATCACTTCCAACGCATGTTTTATGGAAGGAAGCTCGTGTGGGCAAGGATGGAGTTGTTAGGGAAGATGTTCGACATATTTATGATGAATGTGTAAGTATAACATTGTGTCTTTAAGTAAATCAAAAGTTTATTAGTATATACTTAATTTTTTATCTCCACTAATAATTTTCGATATATATATGTAAATGAATTTCAGGAGACTCTATCTCAATTGGTAACCACAGATGAGGACCAGGATAACAGGAGCGTACTTAGTCGTGCACTAAATGTTGTTGAGTATCCCGGTCGGGTGAGGGGTAAAGGACATGGTGTGACTCCATCTTCCTTGTATAAGCATCCAAGTAAAATAAATCCTTGCAATCAAGAAGTGATGAAAATGTTGGAGGAATTAAAGGCGCAAGTCCGTGAATTACAACAGGAAAGAGAGAGATATATGGCGCAAAAGTGAAGTTTAGAGGCGAAAGAAACTAGTGACAAAGCTAGTATCAATTGTCAAAATAAATTTCCTGAGGTAATTATATATGTTATTATGAAATTAAACTAGCACATTTATTTTAATTGACATATATACACATTAACAGTAACATATTTATTATTGGTTTAGGGCATTTCATCTTGCCAGCTATACTTATCGTCACCGACTTATCGCTTAGTTGGCAAGGGAAAAGTGCATAATACTTTGGGAGATTTACTTCACCATAGACCGCTCCCTGATGGACATCTGAAAGTATCAGTTGATGTTGCATTAGATTTGGATGCGTTGCTACCGGTACCTGACATTATTTCAGAGACAACATTGCTACGAGATGCAATAGGATCATTTGTTGCATGGCCGTCGGACCTCATTTTCATAGATGATGAGGTATATTGAAAACCATTATGAATCTTTTAGTATTCAAGTTTCAATTCTGAACCATTACGTACATTTTTATTACATGTTAATTTCAGACTCCTACAAAACCCGCATCTAAGGATAAAGAGATTTTGCGGCACAACGAGTCTATTGCATCATAAAAAGAGGTACATTTAAAGTGTTAATTATATGATCCGAATTAAAAAATTGCATGATTTTATAATTTACCTAAGTTATATGTTTTTAGGTACCTTCTCAACGGTCACAACAAGTGAGCCAGAACTTTAGTAGCGTACCCAACAAGAAAAATGATCTTCCAAGAACTGGGGCAAGAAAAACTTTTGTACCTCGATTCCGGATGTGTCTTGAAACACTTGCGGGAACATCAGATTTGATGAATGGTGCTATTCGTCAAATGGACATGGAGGAAGGTATATTTAGTTTTTCTTACTTCGAAGCAATTGCAAAAGAGGAAATGGAACAAATTTTTCAGCATACAGAATTAGGCATCGGTGTTGTACACTCATACATCTGGTAATGCGGTCAATCAATTATTTAATTAGTCGAACAATTTATTTACACATTTCAATGAAAATAGTCTAATATTTATTATGTTTTTATTTAAGGTTCTTGTATGAAAAATTGATGCGCGGGAATCAATTGCCAAACAAATTCCATTTCGTGTCTGCCTCCCATGTCAACGGAGCGTCAATTGTTCAGGATCCAGATTCAGTAAGAAATCACTTAGTTGAAAGATTCATGGCCAGCAGTACAGAAAGCTTGTACTCCCTCCATTCTCTTTTATAAGAAAATTTTGACTTTTTAGGTTCATTGAATAAATAATGTATTTAGACTATATATAAGTTAGATACATCAATTATTAAATTAATCTAAAAATTTAAAATTTTCTTATAAAAGAGAATGGAGGGAGTATCTTTTACCGTATAATACGATTCATGTAGGGTTAGTACTTCATTCTAAGTTCATTCTAATCTTTGTATCTTTTGTGTTGAAGATTTTCATCTAAACTTTTGTTTTAATTTATAGACATCACTGGTTGTTGGTTTCTATTGATCCTTTCAAAGAAGTGGTGTATGATTTGAATTCGGTAGATGGTGAATGGACAAATTATCCAGATATAAATTTAATGATTGATACGTAAGTGAGATTGTTCTAAATATTCGTGTGTATTTGTATATTTAATTATTTCTGTGAGATTGTTCTAAATATATGTTTTTATTTTGTTAGATCAATACAAGTATTCCACTCTCAAAGAGAATCTCGAGTATCACGGTCTAGATCAAGCAATATTACATGGATCAAAGTGGAGGTACATTAATTTTCACAATTTTTCTTATAATAGTGATGCTACTTGATAAAACAAGACAACTATACATTCTTATTTGTTTTTTATGTAGTGTGCTCAACAGCGTAACAATATAGATTGCGGTTACTTTGCTTTGATGTTTATGAAAGAAATCCTTCTTTTGAATCGAATAGAGATTCCAATCACGGTATGGATTTATAACTTAGGATTTATTTTAATATTTATCGGATATTTCATATAATTTATTACTTTTAACTAAATCATGCATATTATGTTTTGTTATGTAGTACTTTGATGAATGCAAGTGTGCTCATTACACGAAAAATCAATTGGAAGAAATCAAGGAGGAATTGTGTGAATACTTTATTCAGAAAAGAATCATATAAGGTATTGGAAGTTGAAAAATATTATGAAAATTTTTAATTGTGTTGGACCCAAGTTAGTTTAATTGACTGTGTTATTCTGTTCATACCTTATTTGCAGGACAAGGACTGTCCGCTCGTCAGATTTTGGCGATTTCAGGCTAAAACGAATTTGCCACATATCATATATAAGAGGATTCAAATAGAAGGTTTTGTTGTACTTGAGTACCATCACCTTTATACGAAATTCTTGGAGTTTGTTGTTCGAAATAGTCATAAATTTGTCCTTATTATAGTGCATCCTCCTCCTACTTAGTAGCAAACATGTGAATTGAATTATAATGGTGTTTATATTTTGGTATATAATGGTATTATAATGGTATATAATACCTTTTTTTTGGTATGTAATGACTTCTTTATTGAAATAAAGGGTCGTTGAAATGTAAGGCTTAAAGTATAGGTTTATGGGATTATTCCCAAAAATATGTCTTCTAAAAAAGAAAGAATACGCAGCATTTTTACATAAAAAATGCTTAAATTTACGTGAAGCAACGAAAGCGTTTTTTAGGAAAAAGCGCTGCTAAACGCCTACTTTAGAAAGCGCTTTTCCTAGAAAAGGGATGCCTAAAGATACCTTAAAAAATACATTAGACAATGCTTTTGAAAGCGTTGTCTAAAGGGGATCAATAGAAAACGTTTTTTCAAGAAAAAGCGCTACTAGAGGCCTACCTTAGAAAACGCTTTTCTCCAGAGAAAAGCGCTGCTAAAGAATACATTTGGCAGTGCTTTTGCGTAAAAAAAGTGTTGTCTATACCTACGGTAGCGCCACCATAGCCAGCGCTTTTAAACGCTGCTAAAGGGCAAAAAAAAAAGCGCTTTTTAGATCTTTGTTTATGTTTATTTGTTTTTTTTTTTTGTATTTTCAGAACAAATTATGTATTTATTTATATATTTTGATTTTATTTTAATTAATGTGTGACTCTTTTAATGTATGTTTGAATCAATTAATGTATCTGTTTTTTTATTTAATTTATGACTTTAAATCCCCTAAAATATAAGTTTTTTTTTTTACAATACACCTAAAATATGAGTTAGTCTAAAAAAAAATTCAATATTTGGATACCAGAAATAAAAAAGCAAGTTTGATTTTAAGTACTACTGAAGGCAAGTTTAACTTTAAGTACGACTGATTCATCTCTAGACGCGTGAAGGATGTTTTTAAATTTCCAATATGAAACACACCCCATAAGATGCAAAGAGCATTTTCCTTCAATTTAATTATTACTTTTTAAAATCGTTTGGGCCACACTGGTTTGTGTGTTTTGATTGGCCGGGTTCAATTTTTAGAACTCTGATTTGAAGTATAAATTTCATGTTTTAATTACATATTTTAGTTTTTTTTAATTCATCTTATTTTAATCATTATCAGTCATTGTGAATGAGGCATTATTCATCATCAAAGGATTTTTTGGTTATCTAAAACAGAAATAGAGCATGCCATATTGTATCATCAAAGGATTTTTTTTTCTTTTCTTGAAAGAGAACTATAATACATTCTTCATATAAAACTTGCACTAACTTACAAGTCTAAGAATTAACCCAACACAAATAATTCAATCATTCTCTCCCCAAACTGCTTTTAACTTCCTCACCTAAACAATTATGCTAAGTTTGCAATTTTTTAATCTTAGTCCAACAAATCAACAATGAAAAGTGAGAGTAATAAGCTATAAAAACCTAGGTAGAGATAGATGAAAACCAGAATAAAAAGAAAAGGATAACATGATCTTGCAATCACACTTCATTGCCGGGAAACTATAATATTAACATGGTTTTGCGTATATCATGAACATTGAAGGATAAGTGCTTGTACACAATTTATAAACAATCTCTAAGTAGAATGAATATATAAACTAGAATCTGAGACTTTGGCCCATAGAGAAAAACAAAAACTCTGGAATTATTATCAGTCAAATAAACAAAAGTTTACATGTGGTTGAATTTCTGGTGCATAAAGATAATTCCATTAGCATTTGGTGCTTTGTTCTTGTATCTACGAATTTTGCACATTGAATTGTCATAGTGTTTAGTACTCTTGAATTCTGCATTACATATTTTACAAATTGAAACTCCCAATTTACACGGCTGTAATTTCTAAGTGAGCATGTTGTGAGATGAGATAAAAAGCATTGTGGAACAATTTCTGGATCCTCCCAAGTTTCGTCACAAAAATCTGTCAAAATGTCAACCTGATACACAAGTGAAAAGATTTAAAATATACAAAAAAGAGAACTAGAATGAAAAAATGGAGCAATACTTACATTGGAAATATCATCAATGATAAGAGTTTGAAGCTTGGGGAAATTTTGAAGCAGTTTTATCAGCCATGTCCATTTCAACATCCGCATTTCCCACATAAAGTCGAATAAAAGCTCCAAGCGAGTTAAATTGTGAAACATGCAATCCACTATTGAGGGCTCATCCTACATGAGTTACAAAGGCAATATATCACTGACTTATCTGTGTTATCTGTGTCGACGTGTCAGTGTCGGATATATGTGATATGAACATACCACTTGAAGACGGAGATGTTTGACGCTATGAAGCCAATTAAGATCAACATGTATATCAGAAATGTTAGCTTTGATTAAATTGGATAAGCCTGCAACTCCTCGGCAGCGGCGATCAAGTGTATTTACTATTAAATCCTTTGCTTCCAGCTGTTCAAGAAACGGACATCCAAATAGAAGTTTGCAAAGATATTCATGATTTAGGAACGTTACATTTTCCAGGTGAAGGAGTTTGAGCGAGGGAAGATAAACTAACGGAGTTTTATCGAAAGTTAACATCCTCAATTTAAGAACCAACAAGGATTTCGCAGTTATGGGAGAGGAAAACGAGTGACGGAGATCGATGGTTAGGTTTTGAACTCGTCGTTTAAGCGCTGAAGAAACGAAATAGCGGAAATCTGTTTTGGGATAGAGGCGGTGGCGACATTTGAGGTGGAGAGAAAGGATTGGGAGAGAGGTATCACGATGAGAGAAGAAGGAGTAGAAGAAATGGCGAAAGGATAAAGCGTGTGGGAACGTTTTGTCGTCGAAGTGGAGGAGGAATTGCGAGAGGTAGAGAGGCTTCCATCGCTTGGAGAGGAGCGTTGTGACGGCGGCGTCTTTGATTGGGAGGAAGGAGAGGATGTGGTGGAGAATTGAATCGGGGAGAGGACTGATTCGATCTTTTTGGCGTGAGAGGTTAAGGCGTATCCGCTTGGATATTGCGGCGGTGATGAAGGAAGATTTGGGATTAGAGGATTCCATCACGAGGCGGCGAGGAAAACCAAATCTGTTAAACTAAGAGGTTTACTTGAGAGAAATTGGGAGTCAACTTGCTCAACTCGTTAACTTCTGTGACTTACCCCGACTTTTACAAAATTTATCGATCCTACTCTATTATACTCCCTCCCTTCTATTCTTTTATAACAAATATTTTTATTTTATAAATTAATGGAATAATTAATTGTATCTATAATGTATACTGTACATATATTAATTATCAATAAATTTAAAAAGTAAAGTGTATCTTATAAAAATTATAGCAGAGGAGAGAATAGTATATTTTTATTTTATTATTGACTTTTTTATAAATAATTTATTTATAAATGTCAATTAATGTTTTCATCATATACGATGCACGAAACAAATTATAAATGTATATTGTAAATGAAAAAAATTTAGAATTTTTGTTGATTGAAAAGTTAAAATATATAAAAACTAGTGGTGGAGTAATTAGCTAAAATATTAATTGATATATTAAATGATATTTATTTAAAAAGAAAAAAATAATAATGTGATTAAAAATTATTTAAGTGGAATTTAATTTAAAATTTGATGCCTAAATATGTATTATGTTTTAATATATTAAAAATACTTTATTTACTTTAATATTTTATAGTTGAAATATTAAATGAATGTGTTTACCTCTGGTTTTGACAAATAATACTGGTCTCTTAACAAAAAGTTTACTGGTAAGATCGATCAGAGAATCTCAGTATAGTGTTTCAGTTTTCAAGTGTTTTCACAAAGTATGTTCAAAAGGGTTCGTTCGATTAAGGCAAAATGAATTTAAAACCAATAAAGCAGGAGTTATAAAATAAAACAAAAGACGTTTTAAACTATAAAAATAGATGACATAACATCAAAATAGTTGAAAATGGATTGATTCAAATGTACATTGCCCTAGTTTGACTCAATTCGCTCGCTCGCTTGGGTACTCTGAGTGACTAGTATTTAGGAATGTGAAAGTTTGAACTTCTGACACTATACACTAAGTGCTTTATTTATAATACACAAAAATAACTATTTTTCAGCGGGTTTCGCTTCTTTATAAGGCACATGTCTCTTGTAACTTCCCTCCATGAACCCACGTTCTCCATCTCTGCTATCGAACCCACGCTCTCCATCCATAACACTTTGTTTTGCTAGTTATGCACTCTTTAGGATTTTTAACATTCATGTTTCCAATCCATTCCTCATTAGGCCTATTTTATGGTCGAATGCATCCACAAGTCCAATTGACTATTTATGAAATCTCTCCTGATCGACTGCTTATGTAGTCGACTTCCTATAATTCAAAGTTCTCAAAGAACCTTTTTTACTTTTGGTTGGATTTTAACCCTTTGTGAAAATCCTAGCCAACAAATTGTGCCCCAAAATGTCCTTTTCGACTGAAAGAACGGAAACAAACATGTTAATCCTTTTTTCTTAGTGCGAAGTGACGTCATCGTAATCATGACCTTTTCCCTCAAACATTACAACAGCGATCACACAGCCACTTCCCCACTTTCTAGCTTCAACTTCCTAGGATAATCGTGGTCCCCAACTAACCAACTCCTTCAACTCAGTCACCACCTGTTTGACACGTGTCGGTCGTGTAGCCACATTTTTTCCACTTTCTTCCCAAACATTTAGTTTCCTTGATGGTATAAATACCTCTTTCATATCTTTATTTTCCTCTCTACGTTTTCTCTGCATACTCAAGCTCTTTATTTTCGTACACAAAAGAAATTCTTGCTTTCATTTCTACCCAGAAAAAATTTCCACCATCTTCATGGCCGCTTCAAGCCAAATCTCTGAGCACATCCAAACTCCCCAGGAAATTGAACTGGTTTCTGACATGAGTGAATTCTTCGTTCTTAATCAAAATACCTTTGTTTTAGAACCAACGCTAACACGAAATCTCCAAACTTTTCGCTCCCAACTATTACTTCCCTTCATCTGTAACAACATTGCTTACGCTTTATTAGGGCCTATTTCTGATGAGATTAGGGCACCTAAACAATTGGAAAGTTTCTTCCCCACTCACAAAACTACAAAAACCCCTATCAACAAAGATTTCTCTATAGATTTTTCACACATCTACCAGACATCTAAAGTCTTTTGCTCTGCTCCTGCTATTAACCAAGATTACATTGCATGGTTGAATAAAGTGGAGAAAGTTAAAGGTGACGTTTGGAAGACGCAAGGCATTTTTGACTTAATTCATCTTTCTAGGGTTGGACCTAGTTATTGCAATCACATGTTTATTTCTGCACTTTATTTATGAGAAGGCTCCGCAAACACTTGCCATTTTGCAGCTAGGGTGCTTACTCCTACCATGTTCGACATTGCGACCATCACTGGTCTCCTCCCCACAAGTTGTTGCTCTAAGGAAAAACAGCCCCTTTGAGTACTTGAAATTTTTTGTGAACGCTAGGAACCGTTCGATTGATGGAGGCTCCAGCACTTCTACTGCATCTGGAGGCATCTCTCTCTTGGAACTCAAGAAGAAGTTCTTAATCGTTTCAAAACCATGCTCTTCCATGTTGATTTGATCACCCATTTGGAGGCATACCCTTCTGATGGTACTAAGATTAAAGAAATGTTGAAGAAAGTTGAGTTCAAGCTGCTTCTCCTTTAGTCCTAAAATTTGTAGCTGAAGCATCTACCTTCCTTGACCAGCTTTTGGTCGACTTGGCCGAAAAGAAAGGGATCCAGGAAAAACGTCTTCCTAAGGAGAAAGAGCGAACTATTGAATTGCATTTCGTAAACTCTTCCATGGGTGCTAGTGAAGAATTGAAGGAAGCTCTTGACAAAGAAAAAGCATACTTCAACATTAGGGCCACAAATACCTCCCAATGGCAACAACAGATCGTGGTGTTGAAGCAACAAATTGAAAGGCTGGAGAAGAAAAATGATGAGGCAAAGACTTTGCAAACTGCTGGGTTTCACACAACTGAACAAGCGTTGAATAATGAAGCTATTATTGGGGTCGCTCATCTGGAGCATGTGGCGTGTTGGATATTAAACTGAACGACCTTGACACATCTATCTCGTTAACCAATTCTCATCTGGAACTTGCTCGAGAATGCTATATAACCCTCAAGAATAATGTGCCTTTTTAGCCGTTTCGATTTCACATGTACTCTGAATTTGTTCTTTCCATAGTTTTTTGTAATGCTTAATTTACACTCCAGGACGCTTGGTGGCCTCTTCATTAAGCAATGAACTTTATCCTTTGTTTATTATAATTTCTTGTAACATAGGCCTATACCTCTTTAAATATTTTCCATTTACTCGTAGTATTCGACCTTCCGGTGTGAGCTCCTCAATCTCATAAGAATTGTTGGAAAAAAACTTACACTACTCAAAATGGTCCTTCCCAATTTGGTAACCATTTTCCCAGGACTATATCCCTATGATCATTTTCCAAACCATATCTCCAAAGGCGAACGCCTTTGCATTCACCCTTTTATTATAGGCCCTTACTACTTGTTCTTTCTGCCTGAACAAAGTATCTAATGCTACTAGCCTATGTTATTCAACATCTATCAACATATCATACATCATTCCCCAATAATATTCAATAGGAATATCTGATTGCCTTTTCACTCTCACCGGTTCTAGATGAATCTCTAGAGGCAATATTGCTCCATGCCCATAAACTAAGTTGAAAGGCGTTGTGTTAGTCGACTCCTTTGGCGAGTTAATGCTTGGCCCAGAGATGTATGCCAGCTCCTAGGATTTTGGCCAACATGTTTTCTGATCAAACTTATAATGACCTTATTTGGTGCTTTAACATGCCCATTTTCTTGGGCTTAATATGGCGTTGATGTTAACAGTTTGAACCCTATTTTTGCAGTAAACTCAGTTACTGTGATATGGTGGCAGAACCGATTTTTTAATGTCGGTTTTGTGTTTTGTGTTCTCAAATATTGCAGTAAGCAAGAATCGCCACCAACTTTTCTTTTATCCAAATTAAGGAAAGGGTGAAAAGAACAGAAAAAGACCTTTTCGAGATTATTCTGAGTAAGGGGGTAGATTATGGAAAGGGAAGGTTTTAGCACCTTTTCCATTCGTAGTTATCTACGGGCTCTTAGAGTTTTGCTCATTTTTGAAATACCTTTGTGCTTTGTGTGTTTGAAAAATGTTTTGAAATGCCTTAGTGCGGCGATTTGCTTTGCGCTTAAATCTTGTATCAGTCCTCAAGAGTGTTAACAAAGCAAATGTTTTGAAAATTGTTTTTGAAAAGTAGTATTTTTGTAAGTGCAAAAATGTTTTGAGAAAACTTATAACAGCTATCTACTTTGTACTTGAAAAAGGTTATTCTTTTCTTCCTATCCTTTAGATAGTGTTATCCTACTATTAGTGAGTAGGTAGACCTATCTTTGAATGTAAAAGGGACTTTCAAAGGGACGTTACAGTCATGAAGGCAACTTGTGGAGACGCTTTAGCAATTTTGTTTAGGGACTAGATCATTTACCGAGAGACAACTGTAGGGTCATCGAGGGACTATGATATTTTGATTTATGGGTCTTTTCTAAAGCATTTCTGCCTCATGAGTGTCTTATTTCTGAAGGCAACCAAAGTGGAGGGTACCCTAGAGGTGCATATGTGCAATTGTATTCAATTCAGTTATTTATCTTGCGTTATTAGGTTCGCTAATGTTTGATTATTAAGCTCTTTGTCATACATGCCTAATTACTAGCAGTAAATATGTATAGAATATAAAGTGCAGAAGATAAAAAAAACCTATGCTATTACATGGCTTTGGGGGAGGGGAATTTACAATGTACAAAATTTTGGGAGTGCAGAAATTAAAGCAGAAAATAAAGCTTAATTACTTATTACATCTCAGTATGCAGTTACAATAATGTCAAAAATGCGAAAAATAAATAACGCGCGAAAGATTGAAGAATAATCTATAAAAAAAATCTAATAAGAAAAATCTTTTTTTGTTGTTTTTTTCATTCAAGAAAATAATTAAATTGAAATTATCCTAA